TTAGCTGGCAGCGGGTGGACATGGAGAAAATGATGGCAGGCTCATCACTGTCTTTTCAGCATCTGACGACACAAAGAAGAAGATGTACAGCTCCATCCTGGTAGTGGGAGGTGGCTTGATGTTTCATAAAGCGCAAGAATTTCTACAGCACAGAATCCTCAACAAAATGCCACCTTCATTCAGGAGAATTATTGAAAATGTCGATGTGATTACAAGGCCTAAGGTGGGTTGTTTCATAATGCAAGTCGGACTGAATGCAAATGAAAATCCTGGGTGGTGGGCTTTTGTCTAGGAAGTCTTGAGGGCTTGGGCAGGTGAGAAAATTGAGCAGCTCTCAGATATCCAGTGGATGACGTGGAGTAGGGGGTGGTAGCCCTGCTGTGTGCTCCAGGCTGCATGCTCAGCTTCTGCTTTTGTCAAAACACCTGGTGGATCTACCAGATGACTGTGTCTCACACACTGTCAACTACGTCAGCTCCATTCTTCTCTCTTCCATATTTAAGATCTGTTGCTGGTCTCTGGACCACATGATCTTTAAGGTCCTTTTTGACTTGCACTCTCTGTCTGGTTTTTAAAAAGAAACTTTAACTTGGGAATTTGGGAACAGATTGCCTGTATTTTACTAAATCTCAGGAACATGATTCTTGGGGGAATATTCTTTCTTGAGAGAGGGATTATGTGGATCTGTCTGCCACTCAGACTTCAAAATAAGCCATTTTCTTGTATACCTTCTTACCTATAGGCCCAAGTATTTGTGGAATAATTATCAAAGCAGCATCTTCAATAATAGCAATTACAAAATTTTTTCTCATTTGAAACAGAATTGTGTGGTTTGGTAGTCTTGTGTCAGGCAAGTTGAAAATGCGGCTTGTATCAGGCCTCTGCTATTACGTGGGCGTTTTGAACCGGCTGCTTATGTTGACGTACTCTCCTATCCCCCTTAGGACATGGATCCCCGGCTGATCGCATGGAAAGGGGGGGCAGTGCTGGCCTGTTTGGACACGACACAGGAACTGTGGATTTACCAGCGAGAATGGCAGCGCTTTGGTGTCCGCATGTTACGAGAGCGAGCTGCTTTCGTGTGGTGAGATGGCGAGGAAAAGTCTCCGTAGAAAACAAAATACCAGCCTCCTGGTGTAAGAGACTCTCTAAGGATATACATAGTAATTTATTAGCCTGGCTGCTTAAGCTTTATGGGAAAGACACTCATTTCCCCTTCATATTGAGGACCTGACCTCAGTATGACTTTCTGAGACGTTTCGTACTCAGGATGATGGGGAATAAATGCAAACCTGCTCTTCGTTTGTACATTTGCCTGCCCCTTTCTCAGGATCGCACAAGCTCGCCAGTGATGCCACATGTTGCTGTTTGAACAGAACGCATGTGTTGACGTCATTATTTCTAATGGCACTAGGAGGAGTCTGGCTCGTGGCCTTGCATCACACAAAGAGCCCTTTGGCTCTGCTGTTTCCCCCTCACCTAGTGACAGCGTAGTCCAGAGTTGCACATATGTGTATAAATGTACACGTAACATGACTCCTGTACATTCTAAGTGGGGGAAAAAACCTTTTTTCTTTCCTTTTCATTCTGTGGGGGACAGGAAAAGATTAGGATCGATGAGTGTTCAATTTCCCGAGGCAGAGATTTAAGGCTACACAGGCTTTTGCCACCTGACACACTAGGGTGGCTTGGGGCAAAAGAAACATTGACCAAAACAAGAAAAGCCAAAAAAGTGAGTCTTGTTTCCCTCCTAAACCAAAATGGAAATGATTTAGGTGTAATATAGAGTTAACTTGTGTGGTACAAACAAGTTGACTAAGCTATAATTATTATTAACGTCATTGTTAAGCCCCCCCCCAAAGAGTTCCTTTACTTGAAGAAGTAAACCGTTTGAGAGTTCCTTGTGTTTAGTGGCAGGAGAAAGGTGAGGCAGTCTGCTTCTGAAACTATTAACGGCCTCGGAAGCCCCTTGGGGCAGTTCCACTCTGTCCTACAGAGTTGTAATGAGAATCAGCTCAGTGCAGTGGATGTTTTGGGGTTTGTGTTCCATATGACCAGTTAACTGCAAACAACAAACTGAAGCAAAATCTAGAAACACAGATGCTGCAAAAGGAGAAGGCATAGTCCTGAGTCAGGAGCCAGCCAGTGCGCAGAGCCTGAAGATAGGAGGGGTCAGGGGCATCTGCTATGTTCCGCCATGCTTGATGTTACATGTCCGCTTCCACCAGCTCACGGGAAAAGACAAAAGCAAAAATGGAGGTAAGGATGGACTTTAAGATGGTCAGAAATCTTAGGACAAGGAGAAAAGCTGGCACTGCACCATTTAATATATGAGAGTCCTGCATGCTTTCTCAGGAGATTAGGAACAGAGTCCACCAGTGTGACAAAAGTGGCCTACTGGCAAGAAGCTGCACTGCAAACCCAAAGGCACTAGGTTCAAGGCCATCAGTTGCTCAATGGGAGATGGGTGGGCAATCTCCTTCTTAACTGCCTCTGAAAACCCACTGGAGGGTCAGCTCGGGGTCCGTTTTGACTCTATGGTACACAACAAAAATATAATTTATAGAGCTCTGGTGACTTAGTGGTAAGGAATTACACTGCCAATCCAAAGGTATGTGGTTCGAATCTACTGGTTGCTTTGTGGGAGGAGGATAGGTAATCTCTTCCTGTGTGATTTACTGCCTCTGTAAACCCACTGGAGGGTCAGCTATGGGTCAGTTCTGACGACTCTACACAACACCACCACCACCATTTTGGATATGTGCCTTCAATTTAAAAATGATACATTTTATGTTTTGTTCTTTGTAAAATAAATTTATACAAGATTGATTTTGTTTCTGGACTGATTGAACATAACTTACTATTGGCTCTCTATATCTCAAAGCACATTTCTGTAGTACCTTCTCACCTCATAGCCCATCACCCTTGTAACTGGTAGATATTTACTGGTAGAAGGTTGGGTTCTGGTTCAGGTTTAGCATTAGTCCTATCTGTCTTTTGTCATCAGCACTGGGAGGGTCCATGGGGACTGATGATGCTAACTCCCAAGGCCTGGCCTTCCTCGTGATTCAAAGACACCAGCTATTTCTCAGGAGAAGAATGAGCAATCACCTCCCACCCCCCAAGCCCCAGAATTAAAAGTCTCTCTGGCTTGGCATTGAGGTTGGGTTTTATTACCAGCATGGGCAGCACAGTGAATATGAATCATGATAAATGAGCTTTTCCACATTAAAGACGGTTTAGAAGAGTCCGTGGCATTAGAGATATTATCACTGATGTCAGATGAACCTTGGCTTAAAGCAAAGAGTACCAGAGGAATGTCTTATCTGTGCTTCATTGACCATGCAAAGGCATTTGAGCATGTGGATCATGATAGATTGTTAACCTTGAGAAGAATAGGAATCCCAGAACACTGCTTATGTGAAACCTCTACTTGGAAGCAGTCCTCAGAACAGAGCAAGTAAACACTGAATGGCTGAAAATCAGGGAAGAAGTGTGTCAAGGATGCGTCCTGTTTCAATATATTTTCATTGTCTCCGTGGAACAGATCATTTGGGAGGCTGGGCTTTATGAAGAATGTGGCTTTAGGATTGGAGGAAGACTCATCAACAACCTGCATTATGCAGATAACACAACCTTGCTTGCTGAAACTAAGAGGGCATGAAGCATTTGTTGCAGAAGGTCAAGAAATGTAGTCTTTAATATGGATTGAAACTCAACATCTAAAAGACAAAGATTCTCACCACTAGGCCAATTGAGAGTACCATGATAGACAGAGAAGAGATTGTGATGGTTAACAATTTCAGCTTGCTTGACTCCACAATCAACATTCTTGGCACTAGCAGTCAAAAAATCAAAAGACAAATTGCATTGGGAAAGTCTGCTCTCCAAAGTGCTAGAGTAAAAATGTCAATCTAGGGATTAAGATGCACCTGATCCAGGCCATGGGCTTTTTTACATCAGAGAGCTGGAAAGTTACTAAAGATGACAGGAGAAGAATCAATGTCTGCACTGTGGTGGTCCTGGAGAAGAGTATTGAACATACCATGGACTGCCAAGAGAACAAACAGGTGTGTCCTGGAGAGGGTGAAACCAAGTTTCCTCTTGGAGGCTAGGATTTTAAAGTGCTGTCTCATTGCACTGCAGTCCCAAAGTCATGCAGTTCGAGTCTACCAGCTGCTCTGTCAGAAAAGGATGGGCAGTGTCCTCTCATGGGATTAATTGCCTCTGAAAATCCACTGGAGGGCCAGCTATGGGTTGGTTCCAACTGGATGTTAAACAACAGCAACAACAGAGCAAAAGGAGACATCAGGTCTGGCAGTAATACATTTTGGTGTTTATGCTAAGTTCCATAAGGGCCAAATGGGACACTACTCTAGTTTTAGAAAGATAGGGTCCTATGCAAGTATCAAATAATGCACATGATCGCGCATGCTCCCTATGTCATCTGGGCAGAAAGATGGATTCAGATTATTCCCCATCTGAGTTATTTTACAAATGAAGATTTTTTTTTCATGCCGTAGAGGATTTTTCATATAATAAGCTATTGAGCATTTCACATTCATTCATTAAACCTAGTTTGTTAACAACCAGTTCTGTCTGTGGTACAATGTATGGACAGCAAGACTGGCATCTGGCTGGGAGATGCTTTATCACCAGATTAAGAGAATGGCAAGCTTCTCACCACAGCTGATATTGACTGTTAGAAAAATTGTAAATGTAAGTTATAATTTTTCAGTTAATTCTATGATGGTGAGTAATGTTTATAGCAACAATTATATTGACCTAAATTTTGAAATACTAAACAAAGACATGCATTCAGTCGGAGTCCTCCATAGTCTTCCTGCTAAAGCTGGTATACACATAATCTACCTTCCAAGTACCTATACAGTGAGCTTCGAGATTATGACAGAGGCTTTTTCCATAGAAGGGGGGGGGTGGTAGCATAGGACGACTTCAGCAGCTCTTGTTCCTTGTTAGTATGTGAGGATCATGTAGGATCAGCAGTGGGAACATCGTCGCGTCTGTTTGCTTGCTGATGCGTGCTGCTTTGTGTGGAGAAGTTCTTTACAGAAAGCAGTGGCGTCCTTCATGAGGTGGTACTTGGGGCAGACCTGGAGAGCACTGTAATCGCCATTGGTACCAGGCTCTTGAAAGTAGACCACCAGGTATTTGTGCAGGTGGGTCTGGCTTGTTAGGTCACTGCAGAAGAGATTGAAGGCGAGAGGGAACAGGTCCTGGGAGTTCTCAACGGGGCCGCCTTCCCTCTTGCCACAGGCCCCATCACACACGGTGCTGACATCATTGGAAAGCAGGAAGATGACTTTACTTGCCACACGCTTCATGGTGGTCAACCACTGCACTGGGCCCATCTCCGCTATTTTCTTTCTCTGCCACTTCTCTAGTATGACCTCACTTTTGCAGTGGTTTTGGAGAAATTCCGTGAAGTAACAAACCGTGTGCTGGAAACATACTTCCATTGGGTAAACCACGAGAACCTTAATGGGAAGCAGTGGGGTGTCTGCAGGAAAGGAGGTCTTGTTCCTCTCTGTGGGAGACAAGAGCATCTGTTACCTGAACAGCAAGCATCAGGCTCTCCACGCTAGTCAAACTGTCAACAACAAAAGTTCCCTCACTAGGTACTGGCGACTGAGTGCCAAGGACCTTGGTACTGTGAAAACATGAAAATATCCCACATAGTCCTTTTGAACACATCACCTGAAACAGACACTAGGCATGTCTTAAAAGATCTGTTCTCCAAGTCCCTGTCACAAGAGCAGTCCTCTTAGTCAAATGTTACCTTCTCAGAGTCACAAAAACTTTAAGGTACTTTATATTAGGTGGGTTGTATTTTCAGTATTGTATGTTTGGGGAGATTGGACTTTGGCACAGCACATCGTTTTGAGTTTGATCAACTCGGTTGTTTGTACCATTTTGTGCCAGCAGGGGGTAGAGTTTCCTTATAGTTCCCATAAGGTGGTATGGTATGACATAGCCCATTCTGTTATTTCAGGGGGAAAAATCTTCCCTATACTGCCCAAAACCTAAAAACTGTGAAAATATCATAACTAATTCAGCTCAAATGACAATAGCTAAATATAAATATATAAATATAATCCTGAGGGGAAAGATCTATATTGTTTTTCTTAGCTTAGAACACTAGATTAGCATTTCAAATCCACCAGTTCGAAACACTCTGCTAGAGAAGGAGAGGCAATCTTCTTCTGTTCAGTTGGATACGATTTGATGGTACACACTCAAAATAATAAAAATTAAAAAACCACACTGGATTAATCTTGCACAGCATTGCAAACAACTCATAGATTTGCATTCGTACATGTGGAAAAGAGGAGAAACAGGTATTTTTAATGAGTCTGCCTCAGTGTAGCTATATAAAGACTCTGATTTTAGTTTTATTATTTAAATATTCTATGTTTTACAGCATTTGCAAGGACTTTAGAAAGCCTGTGAACTCAAATTCAAGTCTGTTTTGGATCTAGAAAGAACTGTTTTTAGAAGGTTCAAGCTAACAAGGCACTACTGAGAAAGAACAAGGTAGAAGGACTCATGCTTCCCCAACTCAGAGCCAGCACACACCACAGAAATCACACAGACGTGAAGACCAAAGGAACAGAACCGAGAACCCAGAAACAAATCCATGCACCTATGGACAGCTGGCCTTTGACAGAGTGCTGAAATCTATTGCATGGGGGACAAGCAGTCTCTCTAACCCAGAGAAATTCAAACTCATTGCAGGTGAGTTAGAACTGGCTCACAGCTGACCCTCGAAGAGACTTCAGAGGCTGTAAGTTGCATGCATCTTTTTTCCTGTAGAGCTGTTGGTGAATTGGAACCATCAGAGAGGAAGGGCCTTTGGGTTAGCAGTGCAGCCCTCTGTACACAATGCCACTGAGCTCCTTTAAGAAATCCTGGCAAAATGACAATCTGTCCCTCACACTACACAAGAACACACTCAAGAGGAATTAAAGACCTAATTGTAAAACCTGAAACAAGATCATAAAAAAAAATAATAATAGAAACAAATTTAGGAGCCCATGCCTGTGGCATAAATAAACTGTCAAATAGAACTGAAAACCCTAATATGTCAAAGAGTCTGTCAGATACAACAAAGGATGCTGGATCTAGATGGCAGGCCTTCCAATAATCAAATTCTTATGTGCATCAAAAGCCTTATCCAGGTAAAGTTCTTGATACATGGCAGCCCCCTTGTTGGAAGAATCTTAAAGCTGAACTCTTTTGAAAACAAGAATTCAAACAAGAGAAACTTCTGAAAGATTCTGGAGTTTCAGGAAAATAAAAAACAACCAATAAGAAACCAAGTATCTGGAGCAAACAGAATGCAGGCGTTTCCAATGGAGCAGAGAAGCGTGCTGAGCAGAAAACTGAAGAACAGAAGACTTGAGACAAAGCAAGGGGAAAACTGGAGGAAAAGGCCAAATTATATGAAAAAAATGGCCAAAGGAGACTTTCTAGATGAAGAAGCAGAAGATATGCACCTAGTGAATTTCATGCAGAAGATCACAGATAAGCACCAAGGAATGGATGTATTTGGTACAAACTCAGATTTCTGAAAGGCAGAAGAAAGGGAAGATGATGAAGGAAATCTTTCTGAAAAAGATATACCTTCTTCTTGACACCCCAGTGAAGAACGGCTTGTTGATCCTATGTTGTTCCTACTTGTATATATTTAAAAAATAAAAAAAAAAAATAATAACCTTGGCCAAAGAGTAAAAAGAAAGGAGCTCTGGCCCCATAAAGAGCGCTCTGTTACCTCAAAGGATAAAAACCAAGCTTAAGAATGGCAAAATATTTAGCAACAATGTAGGTGACAAGGGACTAATCTCTCATTTTAGCGAATACACCAATGCCTCACTAACAAAAATACAAACAAAAAAACGGGAGAGGACATGAAAACACACTTCACCAAAGAAGGCATCCGGATAGCCTGCAAACATTTGAAGAAAGGTTCCTGATCATTAACTATTAAAGAAATGCAAATCAAAACAACAATGAGATAACATTGGCAAAAATAGCAAAGTTCAATTAGCCTGTAAAGAAATACTAGAGAGGGTGTGAAGAGATGGGGACTCTCACTCGCTGCTGGTGGGATTGTGAAATGGTGAAATGATTGTGGAAAACAGTAAAGCATTTCCTTAAAAAGTCAGAAATATTTAAACCCACTGTCTCACCACGAGGTTGTTGTGTTGTTATTAAGTGCCGTCAAGTCGCAAGCGACTCTATGAACGAAGTCCTGGACACTTCCTGTACAACTTTCGTCCTCTCTCCAGGTTCATAGGGTTTCCAGAGGCAAGCTATTATGGAAGTGGATGCCACTCCTGCTTCCAAGCTTGTTTTAATCCAGGAGCTTCACCAAACACTGTCCACCATGGGTAACAGTATTTGGCTTCACTGCAACCACGAGTTACCTCTGTACAGCAAGCACCACTAGGTACATAACCTAAACAAGAACTGCAACAAGAACAGATAAATGCACATGTTCATTGCAGTAAAGATATGGAAACAACCCAAGTGCCCCTCAGTGGATAAATGGATAAACAACTGGGGTACAAAGTGTCAGGCCCTGACCAAGATCAAAGGCAGAACAAAGGACTCAAGGAATATCAACATGTCAACAAAGGGAGTGAACAGTCTCATCTGACCAAACTAACTTGGAGTGCCCTCTCTGCCCTCCCTAGAAGACCTCCCACCTGGCTAAACCACAATGGAATGTCCCTCCCTAAAGACCCTTACTATAAACCCCCTGCCCTAATCACCCTTAAGGCCTGGTATTCCCTGGTCTGTCTCTCTGCCTGTCTTTTTCTCTGCAGACCAAGGACTCACCCCCAATCCCTCCCAGAGCCCCCATAATAAAGCTTCTTTAGCTTTCTTTCTCTGGTCCATTCCTTGAGTCCTTGGCCTTATGTCCAGTGAGAAGACCTAACACAAAGTAGAATGCAATGCAGCACTAAAGAATCATGAAGAATTCACAAAATTCCACGACATGGATGAATGGATGACTCTGAAGGATGTTATGCTGAGTGAAGTCAGTCAGTCACAAAAGGACAGATGCTGTATGAATCCATTATTATAAACAGCTAAGGATAGATTTAGACACCATAAAACATTCTTTGATGATGGCTAGAGATGAGAAGAGGGGGGGAAATCAGCAAATAGGTAATAGGTATATACTAAATTGAAAGAAAAGGCATACTAAATAATTTTTTAAAAAATGAAAGGACCTAGCATGTAATACTGATCACAGATTTCATTGTTAGCCATTGTGCAAGATCCCTCAACAGTCTCATCAGACCTGGAGGGCCTACTCCCCGAATTAACTCAGTGTACTTGGCAAATGTGACTCCGTTATGATCAGTCTTTTTTAGGGAGCTCTAGTGGCATCCACTTCCTAAACAACATGCCTCCGGAAACTATGAACTTTGATAAATATCTATAGTTGTAGAGGGGCTTTCAGGCCTTTTGTTCATAGGGACGCTATGAGTCATGCTTAACTTGAAGGCAATCAACAACAACAACAACTAAGGCATAAAGTAAAGGCAGTCAGATTCGGGGAAGTGCCAAAATGCTGCTGCTTGAGAAGAACTGCCTTTAAACAAAATGTTTTCCTCATGAAAGTGTAAGACTTAATAGAAGCTCACCATGCTTCCGCAGCAGATAGGTCCCAACTACCAGAGCCCACACGGCCACCAGCAGAGCCAGGAGGAGGAAGGGCAGCCAGCTTCCCAGCACCCTGGTGTCTGCAGAAAACAGGAGTATTTCACCTTTAGCAAATGGAAATCCACTTCATTTCCTACTTGAAAACCAGTATTATTTCACTCTTGAAGTACTCTTATTGCTGTAGAGTCAGAACTGATCCTTCAGGGGGTTTTCTGAGGCTGTAAATTGCACTGGAAAGAGATTGCTCATCTTTCTCCCTCAGAGCCACTGGTGGATTTGAACTACCTGCCTTGGGGCTGGTAGCACAACTCCTTACCCACTAGGCCTAGATTTTGTAAACTCTCATGGGAGTCAGAAGATTAAGAAATGGTTCTCTAAATCAATTTTGTTTTCTTCCTCCAAATACACACACGCATTTCCACTGTGGTACCAGAGTTTACGGGGAATTTTTGGTTCTCTGATAAGCTGTCATAGAAGCTGCAATGACTTGCTTACATAGCATGTCCATCCCTGATGTCAAGTCTATTCCAACTCATAGCAACTGATAGGACAGAGCAGTACTGTCCCAGGAAGTTCCTGAGGCCATCTTCTGGGAAACAGACTGTCTCCTCTTCCTGCAGATTGTCTGTTGGGTCTCCAAGCTTGAGCTTAGAAACCAAGCATTTTAACCACGACACCACCAGGTGTCTTTACAGGACACATATAGTTAACATGTTTTTTAACTGTGAATGTAATTAAAGTTTACACAAAGGCTGGGTTTTCATTCATTCATTTATGCCTCTGTCCTCCCTCCCCCAATTCACTCTGTACCATACCTCTTGCTCCAGATTGCTTCATATAATGCCTCATGATCACTTCCTTTCAGACAGTCCTTTCCTTCATCTGTCCCAGTGCACTGTTCATTATCTATCTATTCTCTTCCTGTTCTCCCCTCGCTCTAGTTAACATTTATTAAAGGCTGTTTTGTTGGATTGGAAAGTGAGGGACATGATGCCACTTCCTGACAAGAATGTCGGGCAAGCTCACACACAGAAGGACTCTGAAGAAAGCTGAATCTTGTTAAGTTCCCGAGTTGTCTTCAGTTTGGCTGAGATTTTGAGAACCTTCTCACTTTTGACCCACCCTTGTAGGTCCACCTTTATCTGTAACAGAAGAACTAAGAGGAACATGTCTGCACTCAGAGAGACATTTCCGGGAACATGTTGCTCTCAGGCACCATTAGGTGTGTCTTGATGTCCTTGATCCTGATTTGTTACCCAAATGTTGGCCCTGTGACCTTATCGCCTCATAATAACAGGCCTAGGGCACTGAGACTAGTAAGAGAACTTAAAATCCAGTCAGCTGCATGACCCTATGTGTACATCCAGTCTTTTTCCTAGCAGACTCTGTAGCATTTTGAGCATCTATTTCCCACTCCTGGTTTTTTTCCTCTCCATCCAACTTGTGTATAAAGGGAGCACTGGTGGCCTAGTCTGTAAGGAGTTAAGAACTCTGGTGTGCCTCTGTGGTGGTTCGAACCTACCAGCTGCTTTGAGAGAAAAAGATGGACAGTTTCCTCCGGTGTGATTTACAGCCTCTAAAACCCTGCTGGAGAGTCAGCTATGAATAGATCCGACTTGACGGCAGTGAGTTCCAGGTTTTTTTAACTTGTCGTCCTGGAGAAGGTTAAACCAGGCTACTCCTTGAAAGTCAAGGATTCTGAAGCACCATCTGACATACTTTAGGTGTGTTGCAAGGAGGTACCAGTCCTTGGAGAGGGACATCATGCTTGGAGGGGTGGGGGGATAGCGCAGGAGGGGAAGACTCTCAATGAGATGGACTGACTCAGAGACTGAGGTTAGGGTAAGTGTGTCCAAGACAATAAGGTTGGGTCAGAACAGAGCAGGGTTCAGAGCTGTTGTGCATAGGATCGCTATGAGTCCCAGGCAACTTCATGGCACATAACAGCATGTCCTGCTTTGTAAAGGGTGTGGTCATTCACTGAGATCATGGACTTTCTCTGCATACAGAACAGGAACACTTCCTCACTGCCCCCCCCTTGGCCAGTCTGAATGGGGGCGCTGCTGGTTGAACCCTGCAGATCCCAAACCTCTCTGATCATCCTGGGAAAGCGAGTGGGCACTTACTCTCAACTAGAGGGCTGCGGAAGTCTGATGGGGGACAAAGCACAACGGTTCCTCTGTGTCGGATGCAGTCACGGCCGCAAGTACGGAAGTACGGAACCACCTGAGGGAAAGAGGCTCTGGAAGCAAACGTCACCCAAATCCGCCTTCTCTTTTCTCTGGTTTCAACCCTCTGAGTGCTGTCACTGGACATACTTCCCTTGGTCACTGTGACAGGAGCCCAAGCGGGAAACATCTAAGACGCCCGGGTTCCAAGCCCAAGTTGTTGGATTCCTTATCGACCAGCACTAGGGCAGGTCCTAATATGGACACAAGTAGTTTCCCTAAATCAGTAGAGCAGTGGAGCTCCTTGTTGACTCAAGCAGCACTTTATGACGTGCAGGTCTTCTGAGACCAGGAATGGAGGCTTCTCTGGAAAAGGGGTGCAGTCAGAACATGCTGCCAGGTGCCTGCTCACTCCGGAGAGGCCTGGCAGTGATCCAGGGAAGCAAACAAAGGGCTTTTTTTACAGCCTGGGGTGTGGCCGTGTTCTTGAGACCCTCCATGCATCTCCAGATCATAAATTCAGAGACCAAAGGAGACCCGAGAACATTTAGTCCAGCTTCCTGATCTCCGGCTGAGAGCACAGACAGCTAGCTGCTCTTAGGGGTTGAGAAACCCATCTGGAACCCAGACCTTCAGTCACTTCATTTTGCAGTTAAAACTGAGGGTTGGGGAAATATACTGGTACTTTCATTTCAGCAAAATCTCTGAGGCTCTAGGACAGAAAATGGGAATTTTTTTAGGGAAGTCAACAGTCACTAATACGAGCAAAAACACTATAAAGACAAGATCCACCACCGTGTGACTGAGGCAAAGCATTCCCCCATCAGCGTCATTTGGCGTGGGACTGCTGGCAGAAACTAATCAGAGATCCCCAACTTTAAATGGACCCATAAAAGTAATTAATGGCAGAGCTGTCTCCTCGAACCCCTGCCTGCCCCAGAGTGCGTCCTTGAACTACCTGTACCACAGCTCCTTCACTTTCCCCAGTCACTGGGATCACCACAGACGTCCGGGATGACTTGTTCTGCGCAAATGAGTGAGACAGTCAAACGTTAGGAGCAGACGGCCAGTGAAGACACCCCTCACCCATTACCAGCTTTAACCCACTGGGTGTGGTGTTGGGGGTGGGAGGGTAGTCTTTGGAGAAGGGATGATGCTGGGACTGGTGGAGGGTCAGAGAAAGAGGGGAGGGCCTTCTACTCCATGCATCGACAGTGACTGTAACAATGGGCTCAAGTACATCAGAGATGGAGAGGTGGAACAGGATAGGTCAGAGTTCAAAGTCTTAATTTATGGGGTCATTGAGTAATAGGTGACTCAAAGGCACCTAATAACAACAACATGTGTGAATAGGGATTCCTTTTGTAATTCAGAAACTGCTATCTTTGGTTGGGTTTAGATTCATGTGACATTTCCAATGACTTAATGGGAATTAAGTTCCTCACAGGAACTTAAGGCTCTTTGCTCTCTCAGGAGTGAGAAAAGTCAGCACTCCACCAGAATGTCCATGAGGTAGGGAAAGGGTAAGAATGACGGGGTCGGGGGAAGGCAGGTACCTCTGACACAGTAGAGAATCCAAGAACAGTATCATTTTGGATAAGCGCCATGTATCTATCTCCAAGGGGACTAGTGGTAAAATTCACTTCCACTGTCTTTTCGTTCTTCTTACAAGCAGTGATGTTGGGGTCCCACAGACTGCCTGTGTGAGAGACATACCCATGGATGAGCTGCTGCTAACTCTTTGAATGTTCTTCTTCTAACTATTTAAATCCCAAAAAGACATTACAACCTCCACATCTAGGTCCTCAGTCAAACATCCACAGAGATAGGGACTTGGCTATAGAAATAGTGTACTTCCTTTTTTTTTAAAAAAAAAATGTGATTTTAATGAAGGTTAAAGAAAAGTTGGATTTTCATTCATTCATTGTTGCACATTTTCTTCCCTTCCCCCTCTCCCAGTTCACTTTCTTTTTAAAAATTATTAATTCATTGTTAGACAATTTCTTCCTTCTGCCTGCTTCCCTCTCCCCCTCCCCCAGTCCACTTTGTAATGTGCCTTATTCTGGACTGTTGTCTTACATATAATGCCTAATCATATATTATTTTTAAAGGTTTCTTCCTCATCTGTTCTAGTACAGTGTTGATTATCTACCCACTCTTCTTATTCTCCTCCCAACTCCCCATGTCAGTCCTGTTTCTGAACAGTGGTGTTAAGCAGTATTCATCCTTTTGAGAGCGAGATGTTTCACTCAGCATAATGTCCTCCAGGGTCATCCATGTTTTGTAATATTTTATGAGGTAATTTTTCAGTGCTGCATAGTATTCTACTGGGTGTATAAACCACAGTTTGTTTGTTGATGGGCACTTGGGTTGTTTCTACCTTGTTGTGAATAACTCAGCAATAAACATGAGTGCGCACACATCTGTTAGGTTGGAAGGTCTGGTTTCTTTAGGGTATATCCCCAGCAGTACAATTTCTGGGTCAAATGGTATTTCTATTTCCTACTTTTTTGAGAAAGCACCATACTGCTTTCCATAGTGGTTGCACCATTTTACACTCCCAACAGCAGTGAATAAGGGTTCCAATCTCCTCACAACCTCACCAGCATTTGTTGTTTGTTACTCTGTTAAACTTTGCTATTGTTGCTGGGGTAAGATGATATCGCATAGTTGCTTTGATTTGCATCTCTCTGATAGCAAGGGATTTTGAACATTTTTTCATGTGTTTGTCTGCAATCAGAATGTCTTCTTTGGTGAAGTGCCTATTCATATCCTGTGTCCATTTTGCAACTTGGTTATCTTCTTGTGAGGTGCTAGAATATTCTATAAATTTTAGATATGAGTCCCTTATCAGATATGTCATTATCAAATACTTTTTCCCCAGTCTGTGGCTCTCCTTTTTACCCTGTTAGAGAAGTTTTTCGATGTGCATGGGGATTTGATTCTTAGCAGGTCCCATTCATCTATTTTGTTCTCTCCTGGTTGTAGGTTTTTCATTATGTTTGGAACACTGTTCATACTGTAGATTAGGGTTTATAGAGTTTTCCAAGCTTTTCTCTGATGAAGTTTATTGTCTTTGGTTTAACTCCTAGGTGATAGTGCACATCTTAACAGCACTTAAGGAATCTTCCTGCTGCCCAAGTCACTGCTGTGTTAAAAGTTGCCTCTCCACGCTGATGCTGGCAGGCACCATGGTCAGGTCCTACTACTCAGTCTATGCTAACATATTTTGTGTTAAGGGCTGAGGTGAAGGAGCCCTTTTCCTAGAGAGAAGGCTAGCCAGCATGTCTGAGATCCCACAGCACGTGAACTCAGTATCAGCACTATCTCCCGGAGAACCATTCGCGTTCCAGGTGCTGCATCGGTCAGACCTCTGTGCTGCCTTTCCTGAGTGAGAAGAAATAAGGGACTGTCTTGAAGCTTGGAAAGTACTTGAACAAGCTGACTCTGGCAGAAAAAGCCAGCTGGTGCATTCATGTGGCTTGCAAATAAGGGCTAGGCTGGGGTACAGGAACATGGGGAATAAAAATAAGAATCACTTTGCTCACCTGGGAAAACAGGTCAGGCCTGCACTCAGCACTTTGTGGGTAGGTGGGAGGCAGGAGAGCAGGCACAGAGCTCCCTCCAAGTCTGCTCCCTAACAAGGCAGACGTGTGCTGCAGGGGGGGTCTCTGGGGGCTGCATGCTGCTCCCACCCCTCAATATCATCCACTTCCTAAACAACATGCCTCGGGAAGCTCTACGAACTTAGAGAAAAACGGTATTCTAGGACAGGGTTCAGGCCTTTTGTTCATAAAGTCACTATGAATCATGCTCGACTCAATGGCAATCAACAGTAACAACAATAACTTAGCATTCTAAGTCAGTATCCCTCAGAACCTGACATAACTCCTTGGATTGGATCGTTGAGATTTAGTATCCTGAAGGGGCAATTTCATGTGACCTTGTTCTATTCCGTAAGTCTCCTAAACAGTCCACCCTAGACAGACTGCTCCATTCAGTGGGGAGAATGTGGACTGGGGAGGTGGGTGGGAGCAGACACCCCACTGCTCCTGTCTTCTCCACCAAATGCCATGCATAACTACCTCACTGCTCTGTGTCTTCATCTCCAAGGGAAGGGATTCAGCTCAAGCGGTGGTTTCCCAACAACCACCAAATGTTTTATTTACTTACCTGCCTCAGTGCACTTTTTTTGGTATTTCATTATGTGGTCTAGGCATCCTGGAAATTTGAATGAAAGTTGTTAATGATTTAAAGGAAGAAAAAGGCTCCCTCTCCCCCTGCATCCCGGTGCGCTCACGTAGGCTCACCACTCCTGCAACAATCAGGCAGAGTACCCCAGATGGAGGTATGATAGCAAATTTAAACAGAACAGCAGCATTTTACTATCAAACAGACGATCATCTGCCCTTGGAGTGATAACTAGAGCAAAATTTAAATATAACCTTTATCCAAACAGTAAATGGCCTCTAAGCAAAGACTCAGAAGGGGGAATAGAACCCAGCCACCCATTAAGAGTGGAGTTTTGGGATATATCCAAATACTCCCCTCTGTTGGAGGAGCTTAACTCTCTGAAACCTCCTCCCTCTCCATCCAGGGCAGGGCAGATTTGGTGACTTCCTTCTAAAGAATACAGTGGGGAAAGAGAAACATGAGAGCTTTACTGTGGAAAACCCCTGCATCCCGCACAGCCTCCACCAAGTGGAGACCAACGATGTTATGTGATGCGATAACAAACTAGCTCTCACTCATTGCCATCAAGTCAGAACCAACTCATTGCTGACCCTCCAGAAGGTTTTCAGGAGGCTGTAAATTACATGGGAGGAGATCAAACTCAGGTTGGCCATTCTTCTGGAGAGCCAACGTGATGGTAATGAGAAACAGAAAGACTGCAGAATTGTTACCCAGGGGACTAAGGAGATACAACTATGTGCTAAGTGGCTTCTTGAATCAGATCCTAGAACAGAAGGAGGGCATTAATGGGGGGACAGAAAATATGCTGGAGTTTAATTAATTAATACTAATGTACCATACAGGGGTTGGTACGAGCAGCCAGGAAATCAAAAGATGAATTGCATTGGAAAAGTATGCTGTCAGGGACCTCTCCAGAACAGTGAAGAGCAACAATGTCAGTCTAGAGACTGAGGTGCACCTGATCCAGGCTATGGTCTTCACAATTACTTGTTATACATCAGAAAGCTGGACAACGATTAGGGATGATAAAAGAAGAATTGATGCCTTTGAGTTGTGGTGCTGGAGAAGAGTACTGATACACCATGGACTGCTAGGAGAACAAACAGGTTCGTCCTGGAGAGGGTGAAACCTGTTCCTTGGAGGCAAGGATTCTGAAGCTTCATCTGACATACTTTGGACTTGTTACAAGGAGAGACCAGTCCTTGGAGAGGGACGTAATGCTTGAGAGGGTGAAGGGACAACACAAGAGAGGAAGACCCTGGATGAGATGGATTACTCAGTGTCTGGGGGAATGGGGGTAAGTGTACCAGAGACGATAGAGCAGGGTTCAGAGGTGTTGCACACAGGTTTGCTATGAGTCACAAGTTACTCAATGGCACATTAACAACAACAACCACAACCATGCAGGGAGCTCCTGTGGCATAGCTGGTAAGGAGTTGTGTTGATAACCCAAAAGTGATGCCTCTCTGGTAGTTCAAATCCACAGGCAGGTCCACAGGAAAAAGATGAGCAATCCTCTCATGCAATTTACAGCCTCAAAAACCTGATGGAAGGTCAGCTATGAGTCACTTCCAACTCGAAGGCAATGGGTGAGTGAATGAGGAATATATCAATGTGGGTTTCTTAGCTTTGACCTGTTAACAATAAGAGAAACAGAATTGAAGCAATATGTGAATGTTCTGTATTATTTGTCACTCCTCTGTAAAATCTAAGATTATTCAAAAAAAAGAGTTTATTTAAAAAAATAAAGTAGGAAAAGGAGGTTGGTGTCCTCAAGAAAGCTGGAAACTATCGTATGTGAAGTTGTATATGAAGGTATGTGACACGCAAAATACCCTGACGTGCAATCTCAAAGGACAACAATGAGGTGGCCGTTGTCCCTTGTGACCTCACTTGAAGAAGACAGGTATATGAGCAGGAAACTTGTGTGGGATGGAGAGGAAGCTGCTGTAGTTGGCTTTTCCCATCCATTATCCTACAACAGGCTCATCCTGGAGAGGGTGAAACCAGGCTGCTCCTTGGAGGCAAGGATTCTGAAGCTCTGTCTGACATACTTTGGGCATGTTGCAAGAAGAGACCAGTTCTGGGAGAGCGACATTATGCTTAGAAGGGTGGAAGGACAGCTCAAGAGAGGAAGACCTTCGAAGAAATGTACTGACTCAGTGACCGAGTTTATGGGGGTGAGTGTATCAGAGACAATAAGGCTGGCTCAGGATAGAGCAGGGTTCAGAGCTGTTGTTCACAGGGTTGCTGTGAGTCACAAGTGACTCGAGGGCACATAACAACAATAGCAACAACATCCTCCTGGCAGGTGTGTGTGTGTGTGTGTGAATATGCATGACACTGCAGGTGTAATAGTAATGAACTAAGCCTGCATCACTGAGCAGGTGAGAATACTCAGCTTTCAACTCAGTCCCGCGCTCTTTTCATGGAGAGCTCAGAGGATGAGACTGTTGGAGTTTGCACATTCTCGGACCCTGGCTGAGCCACATGTAGTAATACAGCCTTGCCAGGGAGCGGAGCCTGGAAGAACAGCTAAAGTGCACCAACACAGGACTTGTGTTTGAATGCTGGGTTCATTTTTACTGTATGTGAACCAAAGGTAAGATGCTCAACCTGATAATTTCTTCCTCTGTAAATGGGGCTTTCCCAGCCCTAGGGTTGTTGAGAGGCTTAACTGACATGACACATGTCAAATATTTGGCAAAGTTTCTGGGCCACGAGAATGGAGAATGAACATTTCCCCATATCCTCTCTGACTCAACTCACACTTCCACGGAGGGTGAGGCGTGGGGACACAATTGTCCTCCAGTCACAGACAAGGAAGCAGAGAGTGGTGGGGGAGGCAAACACCAGATCCCTGGGACGCTGCACACTGCCAGCGTCCCCATAAGACCGAGTAAGAGTGAGAAGGTTTACCTGGTGACGTGAAATTCACAGACAAGGAAGGGCCATCTTCATCCATATTCGCAGTGGGGATATTATGGGCCCCAATGAAATAGATTGTGTTCAGTTCTACAGGGAAGCCTGCATATGAAAACATCCACTGAAAGACAAACAAGGAACACTTTAGTTTTCAAAATGAACATAGCAACAGTACCTCTACCTGTTGCCTTTGTGATTTATATTTTTATCCCTTAACCTCCTGCTGAAACACTCAGAGAATAGCCCCTGCACAAGTTGCCAGTGCAACTCCAGGAACCCGGGACACATACAATTTTGAGCCAGTTTAGAATCTAAATCCAACTCTCCTCACTTGGCTGGATTAGAAACTGAGGTCCAGAATGCTGGTTTGCCCCAGGCCTGTAACAGAGATGTTCGGAGGTGGGACTTGGTCCAAGGCATCCTGGTCGAAGCTCTGTGTTGTGGCTGCATCCCAGCCTGTTTGTGCAGGGCCTCGCCCGGGCTAGCCTCCCCAGGGTCCTGGTTCGCGACACAGTGCATGGAGGGTCTGACAGTGCTTACTTTGCTGCCTGAGGGTTTGGTCTGACGCTGGAAAGCCTCCGTGTAATTGCACCTCACGCAGCTGTAGGACTGGAAGTTGCTTTTGCTCGTCACGCAGATCTTGGTGGCCTTCAGCAAGCGGATACTGGCTGCCGAGACAGGCAAGGGGGCAGTGGTTTATGTCACACTTCCTGTGCAGCAGACTCAACACTATGCATTTTGCATTCCTTACTGTTCCTCGTGGACAGACAGGGAAAGCGATGCCTGGGCAATGTCAGGGACCTCTGTCTGAATCTACGAAACTCATCTCCTTAATGACAAAGTATGGATGCAAATGCTAAAGCCAAACTCTGTCCCCATCATAGATGAGCCAAGATGTCACAGGATGCCTGCAAAGGAGCCTCCAGCTCTGCAATGTTGTAGGTCTCCTTAGAGAGTGACCTTGGGAACCTGGTAGTGACCCTCAGTGTCCTCACCCAACTACGCTGCTCCTTCTTCCTGAACTGCCTTTTCTTCCTATTCTGTACCTCAAAAAGACTTGACTTCTTCAAGACCTAACCTCCTGTCATGCTGGCTTATCTTAAGAAATCACCAGTTACCATGTGGCATAATCTTAGAGAAGTGCCAAGATTTTCACACTCTCCTTTGAGAAGTGGAAAAGATCACCAGGGCAGGTGATCTTGCTTGGGGTAAATCGTGGTCAGACTCTTCCTCCCCCGCCCCTTTCCATGTGGCATCCACTTCTTCAACAACATGCCTCTGGAAACTCTATGAACTTAGATAAACGACAATAGTTATAGAAAGGCTGCAGGCTTTTTGTTCCTAGGGTCGCTATGAGTCGTGCTTGACTTGATGGCAATCAACAACAACAACAACGACGAATATAACATAGGAATAGGTAGGTACACAGTATTAGGACACCACTTGAGGAATGTTAACACCATGTAACCAACCAGCTGCCTACTGCTTATAGAAATTAGCTGGCTACTAGTTAAGAAACAGCCAGCTTCGTGCCTCCCTTTACCCCCCTCCCTCCAAACTCAACAGCAATCCCTATCCTTACTTGTAACTGCTAAATTTTGCCTGCTTTTGGAAATAGAGTCATTCAGTATGTCCAAGTTGTAAGTGTGCATGTAGACGTACATACACAAGATTCTGGGCTCTTGTGCTTTTAAGATTCACCCGTATTGCCGTGGTCAGTTAGAAGCTCTTCATTCTGACTGCCATGTAAGACTTCACTATGTGATTATTTTCTACTCTTAGTGGGCCTTTGAGCGCTTTTTAGTCTTTGACTATTATGCATAGTCTCGGGTACATTCTAGTAGGTGGCTTTTGGTTTATGTACATACATATTTCTGTTGAGTGTGCACCTAGGAAGAAGGGCTGGTGGCACAAAAGTTTTAAGTGCTCAACTAGTAACCAAAAGGTTCCCAATTCAAACACACCCAATGGTGCTGCAGAAGAAAGGCATGGCAACTAATTCCATACAGATTATAACCAAGAAACCCTTTGAAGCAACTTCCTATCACATGGGATCACAATGAGGCAGAATCAACTCAACAGTGCCTGACATGACTCTGAGGGATGTGTTAAGGGGGCCTGTCGATTGTGTGTGTTCTGCTTCCGCACACCCCTTAGGCTTTCTCTTTGACTGATGTAAACTCACCATCTGCCCGAAGCACCCAGCTTATGTTCATGGAGAGTAAATACTCTTCCGGTGCAACACTGGTTTTAACGAGTTCCACCCCGAGGTCCCTCAAGTCTCCTGGGGTCAGAGTGTGCTGGACCTTCCACTCTGGAGATGGCCCTGGGGAAAGGCGAGGCTATCCGTCACTGACGCCCCCCCTTCCAGGTCCAGCTAATGTCATCTTCCCCAGGGCCCCATCGCCCTCATTCACAATGTATCACCCCACCCCCACCCCTGTACCCCTGCACCCAGCTCCCTGCAGAGTCAGCCAGATGCTTCTCAGTGCTGGCAGCCGAGGCGAATGTTGACCTAATAGAAATGCTGTCAACTTTGCAGTCTTGATCTCCAAAGCACTTAAGACCATTCTAAGGGGCTATGTATGTGTGTATGTTCCATTTCTCAGTTTACTTTGCCCATCACATTACATAGGCAGAAGCCCATCTAGTTCTCAAACACAATCTCAAACCACGATCTCAAACATCCCATCTTCTATCTTTTCTTTCTGTCCCCAACTCTCAGTGACCCTCTCTCACACAGTGCCTGCCCTCTCTCTTGTGGCTTGACAGGCATCGCTCTCCACCTTACACTACTATTCCCACCCTGCCTAGGACTCCCTTCTGGGCAGAAGTAAACCCATTTGAACCACTTCTTTATTCCCCAGGGTAAGGTTTCTGTCTTGGGTAGACAAAGACATCGACCACATCAGCTAACTAAGCTATAGCTTAGCTATAGCCCAGACTGCCTAGCCATTAAGGGCTTAATGATGCCCAAATTTAGGCCCCCTAAAAGTCAAATGGTACTTTCAGTGTAGAACCCCAAGTGCATGTTCCCTAATGTACCTACCATTCTCCAAGTCACACTGAATAGTCTGAAAGAGAGAAAGAAATCCAGGATCATGTTCAACGCTAATAAATCATAAGTATCTTGCCAAATTTGATAAAACACTAATTTTCCCCTCTTAAATATATACATAAGTGACAATTTTTCAACAAGAAAGATGAACTGGTCTCAATTCAGTTTGGAGTAAACCGGGAATAAACTTCCACAGGGCAGGCATACTTTGAGCTGGGAGACTAACCCCTCTGGGTGTGAGACTTCCCACTACAGGCAGACGACTCTAAATCATCACAAAAGTCCGTTCATACCCTAGACCCAAGTTTTCAGGACAGTCTGGCATGTCAGCTGAGTTTTCTGAAGTTTAGGATTGACAAGGTTCAGAAGATTAACAGAAGACATCTATGATTGCATGTCACAGTGCCTCCTTGGTTCTTTAAATTATTCCACTCCTGGTATAAAGGACTTGCTTCAGATATTTATATTGTTATGCTTAGTTCTGATTTCATCATGTTATCATTTTCAAAGAGCTTTCAAAAATTAATCATCAGGCTCCAAGAAAGCTTCTGTGAAGTTAACAGCTCATCTCTCTTTGTAAGGAAAAGGAACTAGTATTTTGGTTTTGAAACAAAACATTAACCTAAAAGACACACCATTAGGCAACAAGTAAGTTCAGTGACAAGACTCCTGGTAAATGCATCAATCAGCCTGGGACTGGCTTCTCTCAGCACTCAATGTGTCCTAATGCCTTGCAAGACAAAGAATAAACTGGAATTGGAGGATATCAATCTTTCATCTCTCTTTTTCTAAAAGTTGAGTTACAATAGTATCCACCAGAAATGCTTTTAAGCAATAATCCACCAAGGTAACTAAGCTCTTGTCAAAGAGCTAGTGAGGCAAGTTTTAACAAGAAGCAAAACAGCTGGCTCTGACCTTCACAAATTCTTGACCTGATAGCAACAAAGGCAAAGGTGCAAATGGCTAAACCAGGAGTGATATCCAACTTATAGGGACCCCAGAGGGCTGAGCAGAAATGCCCAGAGTTTCCAAGGCTATAAATCTTTACAGAATAAAGCCACAAGGGGCCCCAAAACAGAAACAAGAGGCCATGGAAAGAAGCCCATGACGTCAGGAGAGTGGAGTTCGTCTTTGTCTAACAGTGGGAATCATCATGTTTTTATGTCATAGGCTGTGCTCAGAGGGCAAGGATATGAGTTTATCTGAAATGAAACCTGCTCAAGGGTTCACAAGTCAGCATGGCAGAAAAGAAGAATGGTACGGAAGAGGCAATTCTTGTGTGAGTAGTAAGAACAGATCCCGAGACCCAGCACCCGGTTTGTGCCAGGTTCTGTGAGCTGCACTGCAGGCACTGGGCACAGGAAACCTCGGATTGTTGGTATTATTCTTCTTATAGATGAAGGCTGTGGTGGCCTACTGGTAAGAAATCACGCTGCCAATGCAAAGGTCCTTGGTTCCAATCCACCAGCTGCTTTGCAGGAGACAGCTGGGCAATCTCTTCCTGTGCAATTAACTGCTTCTCAAACCTGCGGGAGGGTCAGCTATGGGTCGGTTCCCGGTTCCCAATCGACAGTACACAACAATGAAAAACACACCATGACTCCTGGCTTTTGATTTCCGTGCCCCTGACCCAAGCAGCCTCATAGCATCTAGGAGCGCCAGGATGGATGGTGGTCTGCAGCCCGTCGGGGTGACTCCCAGGGTGCAGACTTGGATGCTCCAGGTGGCCTTGCACCAACTCCTTAGGAGCAGCTCAAGCACCAGGGACCAGGACGCGGTGTGTGTGTGGGGGGCTTACCGGCTCCGGGGAGACGACACCCCAGCATAGCGCGACCAGGCTCAGCAGCGGGAGCATCATCACAAACTCAGAAACCCCGCTGTGCAGAGCTGCCACCGCCCTCTTATACCCACACCCCAGGCCACCCCCAGAACTCCGCCCCTTGGGTGGGGTGGGAGTCACAGCGCCCCCAGCTGCCTGGATAGGGGAGAAGTGGATGGAGGGCTGGAGGGCCTGGGCGGGTCCCTGGCCCTGGGGGGTGCAGAGCACGTGCGTGCTGGGCGCCAGGTGCACGTTCGTCCCCGCGTCGCGAGCGTCCGCACACACCTCCCGTCCCCGCGCGTTCACTATCCCTGCCCTGTGTCACTACCCGCACCCTGAACGACCTCATGTCCCCGACCGCCTTGCGCGCCCACGCCTCAAACCCTGAGCGGCTTCGCCCCAACCCAGTGTGGCCCCCGCCCCCAGCCCAACAAAGCCACGCCTCTAGACCGGCACGTCCACGCCCCGAGCCCAGCCCCGTGCGCGTCCACACCCCCGCCCCCCACGCTCGTCCACGCCCCCAGCTCTCCGCGGCCCCGCCCCATGCGACCCCGCCCACAGACTCTCGAGGCCCCGCCCACAGCCCCGCGCGGCCCCGCCCCGAGCCCAGGAGCGATCCCGGCTGAGCGGCCAAGACTCCCCTCCCGCCCACCGAGAGCGCCGTGCGCCGTCGCCGCCACCCGACGTGCAGAGGGCTGGGCCGCCGCCTCCCCGCTCCTCCTCCGCCCGCCGGCTCCCGGGACACGGGCTGAGCTGTGAGGTGAGTAGCGGGGACGCGCGGGACACCGGCCGCCCCTTCTTCAGCCGCGCCACCTGAGGAGGTGGTCGGGGATGGGGGACCCCGGGTAGGGGCGACCCCAGACGCTGCACCCCGGGGCTCTGCTGGTCGTAACGGCCGAGCGCCGGGAAACCGAGACATGGGAGGAGAGCAGTGGAAACTCCCGAGTTCTCGGCGGACCCAGCTCCTCGTCGGAGCTAAGTTCTGCATTGTTGGAGTAACTCAGTCGTTCCTGGTGCCCCCCGTGTCCGGGAAACCACTCTTTGCACAAAATGCGGCCGTCACGCGTGCTCTCCGAGGGCGGAAGCTCGGACGCCACGGTTTGCAGCCGAGTTCTCCAGTGTCTCAGTGCAGATCTTAGGACGCTGCCCCCAAATGCACACGTTGGGTCCCACGCGGAGTGGGTCCCGCCCGAGTGGCTCCGTGGGTTCAGCGTTGGCTGCTACCTGAAAGAGTGGTGGGTGGTTGTAATCCACTTGCAACAGGAGTCATTCCGCTTCCTAAAAGGTCTGCAGCCTTGGGAACTCCCAGGGGACACTTCCACTCTGCCTTGTAGGGTCGACATGAACCCTGTCGATTTAACGGTAATGGGTTTCCGCAGTGCGTCCTGGCACATATGATTCAGAGACCACTTGTGAGCGATTTGGACGAAGGTTGAAAACACCAGCGGCTGCCTCCTCCATTCACAGTTAAATATTTTTCATTTATACTGGTTTGCTTTAAAAAAAAATATATGTATATATATGTGTACATATGTTGTGTGTGCATATATATGCATGTATATATATGTATGTATATACATATGTGTGTGTGTGTGTGTGTGTGTATATATATATACATATATGAGAGTTCTGGTGGCCTAGTGGCAAGAAGATACACTGCAATCCCAGAGGTGCACGCTTCAAATCCACCAGATGCTCTGCTGGAGGAGGAGGGACAATTTGAATGCTTTTTTGGCTTGTGTTTGATGTTCAGTACTGCTCTTTGTCCCAGGAGTGAGGCCCTGGAGGCTGGGCCTAGAGTTTAAGGCCGGCAGTGGCTTAAATCCCCCAAGGGAGAGGGAAAGAGGAGGCAACAAGGTTGTTCCTGGATGGCTCCACCCAGGGTCTCCCTGGCTACTTGCTGCCTGTGCATGGCCCTGCGCATGTGCAAGTAATTGCAAGTTTTTGGGGTCGTGTGCTTTTCTGGGCTTGTGTTTGATGTACAGAACTCCTCTTTCCCCCGGGAGTGAGGCCCTGGAGGCTGGACCTAGGGTTTAAGGCAGGTGGTGGCTTAAAGCCCCACCTGGTTCAAATTATTTATTGGTTAAACATTCTTCCAGGTGGTATAGCAGTGGTCTGTGCATTGCTGTACAGAGGTAGCTCCTGGTTGCTGTGAAGCTGAGCACTGTGACACTGGTGAG